ACGTGGATGACGCTGTTACTACATCAGTATTGCACAAAGTGAGGTATGAGACAGCATTTCACACAGTAAAGCACTAGAATCATTTCTAATAATACTACTTCATATGTATAGCTACAGTTATGCTATTCCAACAGCTCACTAAAGCAACAGCATTTTACAAAAGCTGCTAAAAAGCAATATTTTGGGATGTTTTCCTGAAGCTGACCTCTGGAGAGAGTCTGAGGAATCCTCTTCTCTTTCTTGGGAGTGGTCTTCTCAGGCTTCCCCATGGCAGAAGACAAGGTCACCAGGACCAAGAGCACTGAGAGTATTCCTTTAAGCATCTTCACAAGCTGAAAGAACGAAACATTTCGATTTATATAGCTGTTAGGAAATGACAAAGCATGATTTTAACATCAGTCCCAGCAGTTAATGGTGTTGCACGCTCGAAAGCGACGTGTAGCAAAGCCTCCAGAGAAAGTCCCTGTGATGTTGGCCTCACCTGTTCTCGGCTTCCCTGTTGAGTGTGTTCAGACTGGTCTCTCTCTCTCTGTCTCACCTGTACGGCTCTTATACCTGTTCACCTGAGGCTCCGCCCACCTCTCTTCTGCTCTGGAATTTGATTCTGCGCTTCAAACTTTGCATTAACTCTTTTATTTGGCTCGGCACCAAGGACAGGTCAGCAGATAGTCGTGATGAGCTATTGAAGACTAGCATGATTGGGCTTTTTAGGATTGGCTGAGCTCTGATCCGGGATGTCAGAGGGGTACATTAATGGGCTTTTGTAATTTGAGGCACGACGTGGTGTTAGAATGAGAAACCTGTTTATCACGCAGGAATATCTTGATGCGTATTTTTATCATATTATGATCAAACACATTGAATTGATAGATTTGAGTCTAACTGTACAGTATGTTTTTAAACAGTTTATAATTGCATCTGAAGGAAGTCTACTATTTGCATGTGGGAGTATTTTGACATTATAACTTACTAGTGCATTATAATCTGTTTTCTGTAATATAATAGGGTGTGTATTGTATACAGGATTCTTAATAGTCTATATACAATGTGTAGTTTGCTGGTGAAATCCTGCCTTGCAAACATTTGCTTAATGAAGCGCTCAAAAGGAAGTTTCTCGAACACCGTTCCTTCGAAAGAACTGACGTGTCCTTAAGATGACTGATTCTGTATGAAGATGACTTAACTTTTTTCTGTGTAACCTTTTAGTATTATTATTATTATTATTTTAAATTATAATTTTTTTATTGTTTTATTATTTTAAAAAATAATTAGTTTTATTTTCATTAATTTTTTCTATTATTTTATTTTATTTTATTACTTCAACCACTTTTCTAATAAATTCTATAATTCTAATAAAGGAAAAGCATCACCAGTGACCTTTTCTTTTAATAATATTTCAATTTAATTTCTTTTCTTTTCTTTTCTTTTCTTTTCTTTTATTTCTTCTACCACTTTTCCGTACCAATTCTAGTAAAGGAAAAGCAACACCTTTTATGTTAATAATATTTAAAGTATTTTATTTTATTTTTATGTTTATTTTATTATTTTTCCATACTAATTCTAATGAAGGAAAAAGCATCACCTTTTATTTTAATAATTTTTATTTTATTTTATTTTATTTTGTTACGTCACCTTTTATTATTATATTACCGGTATTATTATTTTATTAATTTTATTATTGTTTTATTATGAAAAAATAATTCACTTTATTTTCATACATTTTTTCAATTGTTTTATTTTATTTTATTACTTCAGCCACTTTTCTAATACATTCTAATTCTAATAAAGGAAAAGTATCACCAGTGACCTTTTATTTTATTTTATATTTTATTACTTCTAACACTTTTCCGTACCAATTCCAGTAAAGGAAAAGCAACACCTTTTATGTTAATTATATTTAAAGTATCTTATTTTATTTTTATGTTTATTTTATTATTTTTCCATACTAATTCTAATGAAGGAAAAAGCATCACCTTTTATTTTAACATTAATTCATATTTAATAAAATTAATATTTTATTTTATTTTGTTTTGTTACTTCTACCACTTTTCCGTACTAATTCTAATAAAAGGAAAAGCATCACCAGTGACCTTTTAGTGTAATAATTTGCTGATATCTGAATTACATGACAGTTGTAAACGTTATTGTGTAACATCCTCTGTCGAGTTGCTCAAACGTACAGACCATGTTAACATTTCCGGAGCAAGTCATTGCTGCAAACTGGAGAGGTGCATGTTTATAGCTGATTTCATCTTCTCTGAAACGAAGGCCTGACAAAGCCTCTTTCCACTAGTGGCTGTGGGATAATGTGACAGCGGAGGATCAATGGCGTCTTTGTGCCGAGTGGAATGGAGTCAGGGCCTCCACGACAACCAACACCACTCAGACTCAATCAGTCCAGTCTTTTTATGACTTCACTCTCTGTCCTTCAGCTGGACATTTCACTGCCCCTATATTGTGCTGAAAATGACAGCTATGACTTACTCTGACTTACAAACTAAAGGTTTGTCACAAACAAAACACAGCCGAGGATGCGCTTCAACTAAGTCAACTATTTTTTTTTACCCTTATGTCAAAGTAAAGGGTGCTTAACCTTCAGGAAATGTATATAATAATAATAATAATAATAATGAACATATAATGATAGCACAAAATATATAATAAAATAACATTATTTTAAATAATACAATATGTATTTTATGAATTTAATCTTATTTTCTTCTGAAAGAAGTATCTTATGCCCACCAAGTCTGCATTCATTTGGTCAAAAAAATAAAACTGTAATATTGTAAAATTCTAAAAAATATTAAAATTTAAAGTAAATGTTTTTCTATTTTAATTAATAATTAAATGTGATTTTTTTTTCCTAAGCTGAGTTTTCAGCATCATTCATCCAGTCTTCAGTGTCACATGATCTTTCAGAAATCATTCCAATATGCAGATTTGCTGCTCAAGAAACATTTTTTATTATTATTATCAATGCTGAAAGCAGTTGTGATTAATGTTTCTGTGGAAACCATGCATTATTGATTACTGGTACATTATTTCTCAAGATTCTTTGATTAATAGAAAGACAAAAGGACAGCATTTATTTGAAATAAAAATATTTTGTATAAATGAATATAATACACACACACTGTATATATACTGTATATAACATTTATATTAATAAAATGTAAATATAAATCTATTTTCAAATTGTATTTCAATAGTTTGTAATAATGTATTATATATTATATAATTCTCAAGATTCTTTGATTAATAGAAAGACAAAAGGACAGCATTTATTTGAAATAAAAATATTTTGTATAAATGAATATAATACACACACACTGTATATATACTGTATATAACATTTATATTAATAAAATGTAAATATAAATCTATTTTCAAATTGTATTTCAATAGTTTGTAATGTATTATATATTATATAAATATTTTTGTATAATTTAAATATTATATAAAACTATATACTTTTATTAAAATGATATATTATTAATAATAGAACATAATTTTGCATTTAATACATAAATATTTTGTATTGTAATATTTTGTAACAATCTTTACTGTCACCTTTGATCAATTTAATGTGTCCTTGCTGAAATAAAATAAATAAATCTTACTGACCCCAAAACTTTTGAACAATAGAATCCTTACATTTACATACATTTATTTCCAGCCCTGTTACCAAAATGAGTTACTTGTCTGAATACATCTTGCTTGATTTAGTTATTTTCTTGAAATAAACATTAAACAAACAGATGAATACCTTGGAAGTAAAATAATGTAAAAGAACATTTGTCAACAGCAATCTAGTATAGCATCACGATCACAGGATGTTTTTATACACAGCAAAGACCTAGATTTTATTTATTTTTTTTGTAACTTTTTTCCCGTACAGTGGCTGAGGAGTACACACTGAAAGCTTGTAAAAATGAAATGAGCGTTACATAGGATGAATGAATTGCTGAGGTGTCCTTAACTCCTTGCACACAGGCAGAAATTCTATGAAGCTGAAGTCAATATTTGCCCTCGAGGGCTGGGTGCACAGGCCACTCCTGATCACACACACACTCCAGCAGCCATCTGCACCAACTGCGTCCTGAGAACACGGATCTGACAGACAGGAAGGCAAACGCACCCGCAAACGACTGTTAGCCATTTGACCGGACTGCCATGAGAGGGGGAGGAGGATTCAGTGGGATTGTGTAGAATCCTAACGTAACCCTGTTTGACATATTCAACCGACGAGGCATTTAGAGGTTAAAAAAAGCAAACAGGCACTGAGAGAGAGTGGTCCTTATATACTGACACTTGCGCCGAAAATAAAAGTTAATTTGAGAGAAAACGTGAATTTCGTAATGTTTATTAATTTACATGTAGAAAAACACCTTACATTTCTGAATGTGCCTTTTATTGTGTTTATGCGGCGCTCTGACACATAGACATCTCTCCGACAACAATAGAAAAGAAAAATCATCAGACTTATATCAAAATAAAATCATGGGACAATAGTGAATCCAACAAAAAAAAGAAAAAGAAAATGGAGTCCCACAAGAGACAATAGCCACGGTTTTCACAGAAAACACCTGAATACGTTTGGCCTTGATGACAGTGGTTTGTAGCCCAGGTTAGGCTCAGCTGAACACTGATAGAGCAGGACAGACCCACACGAGTCCGAGAACACGAGCGCACAGCAAATCAAGCCACAGCATCTACATCAAGTAGGAAATCAGCACTAATTCTCCTGATTATCACACTACACAGAACAACAGCTGATATTTCTTTAGCAGGCTAGGATCACTTTCCATCACAAAGTATCGATTCAAGTATTCAGTGGGACTTCAAAAATGCAAAAGGTAGCGGTTCTGAATAGTATTAACCCCTTGCGTACATACTATTTCCAATTCGGGGGAAAACACAATGAAAAACAAATCGAATTAGCATTAGACCATAATGCTAATTCATCAATACATTTCAGTATAGCCACAGCATCTACATCAAGTAGGAAATCAGCACTAATTCTCCTGATTATCACACTACACAGAACAACAGCTGATATTTCTTTAGCAGGTTAGGATCACTTTCCATCACAAAGTATCGATTCAAGTATTCAGTGGGACTTCAAAAATGCAAAAGGTAGCGGTTCTGAATAGTATTAACCCCTTGCGTACATACTATTTCCAATTCGGGGGAAAACACAATGAAAAACAAATCTGCTAATGCTAATTCATCAATACATTTCAGTATCTTTAAAACTAAAAATCGTGGACTGAAAAAACGAGGACCGTGTGTGAAAAAGGAAAATCTGGAAATTTGAAAGCATCTACACATTTCATAGAAGTACGGTTTCTCCCTCTTCAATAGAAACCTGAAAATAAAACATCAAACAGTACGGCAACGTCAGAGGGACTTAATTCAACCAGAAAATCTTAAAATAAACGTTCTGTGCGGTGATAACTTTTCAAAGTGTCGATTTCATTAGGCAAAGAATGACTGACGTGTCAATTATAATTTAGAAAACTGCACATCCAGTATCTTGGGTTTTTGCCACCGGGAGAAGCTTAAGGAACTGTACGCCTATTTACTATTTACATCGTGTCCTAGTGGTTACAGAGTTCTGTAGTACAATCTTTAGCAGTCAGGTCAGTGGTACACAGAATCACAATAAAAATATACATCTCCAGGAATCACTATTTACAGGTAGGCTGCAAAGTCAAGTAATGCGTCTCTTCACAGAGGATCTCAGATCTTCTCACAGCTTTCCAGATGAGGGAAAGTAGTGTCAAATGGAGAAGAAATATTAATGTTCAGATCCAATGAAGCAACTGTACAGTCAGAGGAAGCAGGTGGGATTGTGCCGTCACAGACGCAAACGTCCCCCATTTCAGTTTCTGTTCACGAGGCTCATTTCGAGTCCTGTTGCCCACTAGTGGCGAGTTCAAGGAACAGCAGTTTTCGGTGTGTCAGTGACTGTGCTGGGGAGGAAGCGGTGGTCCGTTTACACCGGGGTGGTAAAACGCACAGTTATTTTCATACCGACAATTTCCCTTCATCATGAAGTGGCGACACACCGGCCTATTTGACATGTCTGAAATGAAACCAAAAGATTGCTATTTACATGCTCATTTGAAATGCCGGAAAATTCAAAGTGTTTGGCGATCAAACTTACCGCCCATGTTGTTGTGTCCCCCGCGTGGTCCCCCGCGTCCCCCTCGTCCTCTGAAGCCCGGATCTCCTCCTCTCCCTCTCCCCCGGTGGAAGTGTCCTCCCCGGTGCGGGCCTCCTCTCATGGAGTCGTCGCCCCAGTAGTTGCCGTTGTCCGCCCCGCGGCCCTGTGGACCAGGTGGAGGACCCATCATGCGTGGGCCGCCGGCGTTGAAGGGTGGGCCGTGGCCGTGGGGAGGAGGAGGATGGTTGAAATGTGGTCCAGGGGGCTTGTTTGGAGGGAAACCCCCATTCATGGGCATCGGCATGTTGTTCATGCCGGGGCCATGGCCAAGCAGACCCATGTTCACTATGAAGTGAGGGAAACAGAACATTAAATATGCTGCTTAACCATCATGCAGTTGTTCCTCAACAAAGTTTCAAGTTTATTTGTATAGCGCTTTTTACGATACAAATCGTTGCAAAGCAACTTTACAGAAAATGTAAAATTTAAAACAAAGCAATGTTATGGTAAACTACAACTAATAATAAAAGGCTTTAGTTTATTGAAATAAATCAGAAATAAAATGAAAGATATTAAATGAAAAACAAACTCAAAAAAACGTGAACATTTGAAAAATTACTTAAGCTAAACTGAAATAAAAATAAATGATAATTAAAAAAAAAAAAATCACCAAAGCACGTTACAAAATTTCAAAAACGTGTTATTTGAAATAAATATTAATATAATAATATATTATAATAATAATAAAAATCAAAAACTTCATTAGAAATACTGATTGGCAACTAACTGATATAAGTACTAAAAAGTACCGAAATTACTTGAACTAAAACTGAAATTAAAGCTGAATAAACTAATAAAATCAATAAACCATAATAAAAAATAAAAATAAATCAAATAAATCAAAAATCACAAAAAAATTACTAAAATTAAAACCTTAACGTTTTGGTTAATTGAGAAATTAAACAAAATATAAAGAAATAATTAGAATAAAAAATAAGAATAAGAATAATAAAATAAGTTGAAGTACTAAAATAATTTTAACTGAAATAAACCTAAATAAAAAATATTTTTAAAACATAGCAAAAAAATAAAAAATAGCTATATTACAATGAAACAGTTGAAAGAGAGCAAACACGTACTTGGCGGAGCATTGGCAGGTTGGTTCTGATTCTGGTTCTGGTTTTGTTGCAGAGAGCCCAAAAGCTGCTTGATCTTATCTGAGAAATCAGGCTGTTTGATCAGGTCCTCTGGAGTCTGGTTAGATCCCTGAGCACCCTGAAAACCAGAGGAGACGCTTAAAATAAAAGCCTTTGCACATTCTCGTGGTAAATAACGTACATATAGCCATTAAATCTTACCATGATAGATGAGAGCAGTTCCTGCACATTAACAGCGGGGTTATTACTGGCTGTTGGACCGTTGCCTTGCGCCTGAGGGCTGCGGCCGCTGTTGCCCAGACTTCCCATGAGGTTAGCTAGAACAGGAGGCAGCTTGGAGCTTTCATTAGAGCCGCCGGAGGCAGCAGCGTCAGCGGACTCCATGTAATTCTCCTCCATACTGCAGTCCTACAACACCACAGAGGAAAGAGGTCATCAACATGCCAAGAAAAAAATGGAAGGGGAAAGCATATGAAAAGGTAATTGGCTGTCTTACCTCATCCAGTGGGATGAGACGTGGAGGCATGGGCTCATACGGCTCAGGGTCTGGCTCATGAGAAGTGTCTGGAACACTGCAGAGAGGGAAGCAAACCATATATGTCCATTTAAAGCCCCTAAAGACATGTTTAACCCTGTTTACTTTATTCACCAATGTGGATGATTCATTTGTGCAAGGGTTTTTAAACATCTATTAAAAACGTTTTTTTGTTAAAGCTAAAATAAAATATAATATTAGATGAAAAACCTATTTTTAATATTTAAAAAAAAAAAATCCTAACAGGAAATAAATAAATAAATACTAAATCTGAAAAATAAATAAATTACAAAAATAATAAATAAAGAGTAAAAAAAATAATAAAAAAAAAAATCGCTAAAAATTTAACAAAAATTCAAATGTAATAATAAAAAAATATTTTTGATACTAATTGTTTTAATACTAAGTATTTTTTAAAAACTATAATAGCATATAAATAATACTAAAATGATTTGTGCATATTATTCTAAGTAGTTAATAATATCATGGCCCACTTTTCATAATCCAGTCAAATCCAAACGGATTCCCAGCCTATTGTGGGCATTAAATGCTTTGCGAATGTTGTTTCATGCTATGAAAGATCACTAAACATGACAAAAGAAAGAATGCTTCAAAAGAAACTAAAACATCATTCAGTCATTTTGTTCTTCATCAAAGAATTGTCTTACCTCTCTTTGCTGAGGAAGATCTCCTGCAGAATGCCCATCTCTCGGTCTCTCTGGATCATCTTCTCTCTGCTGCTGGAACCAGGAATGACCAGGTTGCCTATGAGGGTCAAAGGTCGTGGAGGAGTCCAGGGCACCCTCTCCTCCATGGTGTCGTGAGAAAGACGACGAGCCATTTCAAACGTCTGCCTGTCCATCATCAGCTCCCGTTTGGCCGCCTCGCCGAAGTCCTTAATTTTATTAACGTTCACTGCGACAGAGGGAAAAAGAGTGATGATTATGATTGACCAAATCCAAATCCCACAAGTATTTTCAGGTATTCATAGTTTTATGCTGTAATAATATGATTTATTTTACTGTATTTTTTTATTGAAGAGAACCTTACAAACCTCAAACGTTTAAACTGCAGTGTAAGTGAAGAAAGAGTTGCTTTACCTCTCTCAGTCTCATCCAGATCAAAGTAGAAGTACTCTTTGAGATGATCCTCTTCCGCCCACCGAACGCTTTTCTTTTTCTTTCCTTTCTTAGTCAGACTCTCCTCCTCACCGCGAGGTTCAGACAGAGCGTTGGGTTTATCACCTTAAAACACGAAATAAGGCATTTTAAATTCATACGGCTCTCAGTGAGGCTGTGGCCAATTTCTATGCAGCTGGACTCACCGGTTTCCATGGCATCAGGGTCCTCGGTGGGCACGGGTGTGCCAGGCTGCTCCAGGTCTTGGTTCTCATGAGGAGGTGTCTGAGATGAGGGCGTCTCAGGGGAAGACGGTTTGGCCTGTGTGCCCGAGTATGACTGCGGCCTGCTGTCAAACGGACAGGGCTGTGGAGCACAAGAGAGATGAGAGGAACAAAACACAGTCAGTGGGTCTGTGGAAAATTAAAATCCATGAAGCATAAACACAAATGAGGGTTGTCTGATGTGGCACACCTTGTTAGTGGTAGGGGAAACTGCTTTTGGTTTCTTTTTCTTGATCTTGATGCCAGGCACTGGAGCGGAGTTGAGGGCATCCAAAAATCCAGTGCCTTCCATCGCTAAAAGGAAGAGAAATGGATATTAAGCACCAGTCGGAGAGGAAACCCTACTCTCCTTTATTGCAGATAATCATAATCATATTGCAGGTGCTGAACGGGCATACTCACGCTGTGGGGGTATAAGCTTGACTTTGATCTCTTTGGCAGAGTTGGGGGTGATGTTAAGGGGCTTGTACTTCTTCTCCACTGGTGGTGCGTCGGTCAGCGATGTGCTGAATGAACAGCAGAGTCATAATGAGTTGAATGATTCATTTTCAAACCCTCTGAAGTAAAACTGCATTCAAATTCATTCAAATCATGAATCAAATGAGAAAGGGCCCATCCTGGATTCCTGGATTACATGTGCCTGTTCATTATTTGCAAGAAAGAAATGTAGTGTCCACTTACCTTGGTCTTTTGAGAACAGCAGGCTTGATGTTGTATTTGTCTCCAAGTTGGGGTGCAGAGGGGGTTTTCTTTACAGGAACTGGAGCTGGACTCTCCACCTCCAAACCTGAAGACACAATGTTTTGAGTAAATGTAAACAGATCATTTAAAAAAAAAAATGTGTTACTGAGACATAAAAAAAATTCTATTATAAATGGTAAATTATATATATATATATATATAAAATTGTTTAAAAAAATCATAAATATAAACCTGACCAAAATTGTTTTTGATAAAGTTAATAAAATTAAATATTAACAGTTTCAGTTAATAAAATAAAAACATACATATAGCATTTTATATATATATTAAAAAAAAAAACTCTAAACTTAAAAAAAAAAAAATACAAATGTTGCATTCTTGGCAACTAACTGAAATAAATAAATTTGAAGTACTAGAACAAAAAAAAGTTGAATTGGAATATAAAAAAAAAAAAAAAGAATAAATAAAAAAAATACTAAAATTAAAATGTAAATGTAATAAACCTAATTAAAATCATGAATAAATACTAACAATTGCTAAAACTAAAATAAAAATATAATAAATAACAAAACCTAATTAAAAATATAACTAAATACTCTAATATTATATAAATTACACTAAAATAACACTGGTGACTAACCTGTAGAGCGGATCTTTGCATGACTTGGGGCATAAGCTTTTGGTTTGTCTTTCTTCTCCTCCTCTGCTCCTTTTTCTCGGGGCTTCACCTCTGGACGCACTTTTCCATCCTCCTTTTTCCATTTCTTGTCTGATGGAAAACAGAGTTGGGTTATTCGCCAATAATGGGAACCCTACTTTCTAATAATTCAAGTAAAAGTGCATTAAGTCTACTTCAACAAAAACAGAGTGACATAGAAGAAAATGTAAACTGGAAACCCTACCATTGGGTGACGCTCCACTGGAGACGCTCTGAGAGCGGATAATAGCCATCCAGCCTTCCACCAGCACTGACGCCAGCTTCTTCAGCTCTGAGAGAAAGAGAGAGAGATCAAACCTGAGCTCTGGAAGACAGTAAGCAGACTGTCTGGCATTGATTCATGGAACATGTGCTCTTACCTTCTGTCTCGCCGCTCTTGCTCAGTTGTTTCACCAGCTTGGCTGTGTTGTTCTAGCAGGAGAAAAGACAACAGACAGAGAGCAGGTGTTAGAAGACTGCGGGGGCATGCGTGTGAGTTTTATGGGCCGTGGTGTGGTGAAGTACCTGTTTGAGGTGGTCCACAGTCAGGGGGAGTTTCTGCAGGGTGAGCAGTATGAGCTGCAGCAGGGGGGTGTTAGTGGTGGTCTTTGAGTAGGTGAGCCAAGAGTTCAACAACTTGTAGCCTCCAACTCGAATAAACCTGAGCAGAAGAGATAGAGTTAAGCATAACCTTGAGAACAAAAAAGGTTTCAAATGTTTCTTTTGATGGATATTATTCTTACCGATTAAGTACATCATGTGACTTTGTCTGCAGTAAGATGTTCAGATACATGCATCTGCTGACCATTTTATGCGAGGCCTTCATGAGACTGTTTGAAAAGAGGAAAACGTGTTAGAAATTCTATTGGTAAAGGAATTAATGTTTTTTTTTTAAGAAGGGATCCAGAAAATAAAATGGTACAGCTTCTCACCTGAAGACTTTAGCAACTCCCTCAAGGCTTCGTAGCTCTCCATCCTTCCCCAGCAGAGCTTCAACTCCTTTCAGCACCTCTCTGGGGTCCATCGGGCCCACGGCCATAGCTGCTTACTGAAAGAGGGAGAGAAAACGGGTTATTCGTGTGCTTATGCCACTGGGGAAAATCTGTATATGACACAAAATCACCCAGTCAATACTGAAATAATGAGATCATGGCACTTCAGGAGAGCTCACTGGAACAGCACAAGGACAACATTGAATCTTTGAAAAGTTCGTAGTAATGTACATTTATCAAGGCGACTGTGGATCTGAAATAACTTTGAAACAACAAATTCTGAAGATGTTGGGAACAAAAATGGTCACATGACTACCAAAGACATCACAGAACAGCAACTCTGCATGTATGCATTCAAAGAACGGAGAGAAACTCCTAAATGTTTTATATATTGTACTTAATCAGATATGGATGACTTATCAGTTTTCTGGCTCACACCTGATGTGATTTGAAATCACAAGTGCAATCATGACCACAGAACAAGCTGTGTCCGTTCTGTTCACAACAGCAGAATGTGAAAAAAGTAATGTCTTCATTAATAAACACACTACTTCAAACAACAGTTGGTCCTCAAATTCATGTTTCATCTTTTAGAAAATGATGTTATTTTAAAATAAGGTGGGACTTAGATAATTACTAGAGCCCCAAAACTGTTGGGATAACAAGAAAATAAATATTATTCTCCAACTGACTACAAACTCCTCGGTAAATAAAATGTTTAATATATGATGTCTGGTGGGCTGTCAGTATTTACTGGACTTACTGTTACTAGAAAGGGGCAGCTGCTACAACTGTTATAGTTTAACATCTAAATGCAGACTGAATTATACAGCGTTCATGTAACCAATCTTCTAGAATGATTGAATAAGTCTGTCACTTATTTAATTATACGAGAAACTCAAACTGGGTGACTGGTTATGCGAGCGCTGCATAATGTAGTTCATAATTTGAAATGATCAAAGATAAACATAGAAGTAAAATGTTATATTGCATGTGTCATGTCACGGTCATAAACCCACCTGCTTTTTTATATACACTGTACATTACCCAAAGTAAGCATCACAAGTACAAAGGACATGTAAAATAATATAATGGCTGTGATCAGTAATGTTCATTCAGATTATTATATCATTTAAATAATGAGAATTATACAAGAGCAGAAATTTTAAAAAATGTAATTAAAATTTGAGAATGCACTTAAGAGTTAAACAGTTTTTACAATTTATTTTATTAACAATTGAGTAATTTGTATAGTGATGACCCTTGTAATCCTCCAGAAGTTCAATTGTAGCACAACTAATACCATTTATCACAAGTATTTCGAGAAAAACTAGGGAGGGCACAGTAAAAGTGTTCAAATAATTGACTGGATTTTCTTGTTTATCAGAAAAGCATTGTCACACGTCAGCTGTAAAGCACACAGGGACTCTGGCATTAATATAATATTTCCTTGTTAGACACTGCTTTGATCCATCTGTCTATAACCTAACATCAATAGATGGAAGATCCTATAATAAAATGAGATGTTTGTAAACACTTACAAACTGAAACCTTTACAATATTATAAGTAACACTTGTTATAAAATCTGAAAGCATGAAAAAATATTACAAAGACTTTACCCATATCCACAATTGTCATTGCTATGGGGTTGATGGATATAAAATGCATAGGACCCACACTAGCTTAAGTGTCTTTCAATTTAATTTTAACACTTTAAATACTAATTTGATACAATGCACTTATTGTGTACATACTTGTTTTTACACAGTGTTTATATTTTTAAAATACCTGCATGTAATTATTTTTGTAACTGCATCAACAGAACCTACCCATGAACCCACCCTGACCTAACCTTACCAGTTTCCCACCTTAATGCTTTGCAATACACAATAAGTACAATGCACCAAATAAATACACAAGTAATAAAATATATAATTTTTTGCTCTAAGTACATAGTAGTTAAATACACTAATATAAAGTGGGACCAACATGTATACTAATTTTAAACAGTAAGCTTTAAATATTTTCCTATAATACTGGGGTTTTTCAAATCTCAGTACATTAAATGGACCTTTTTATTTATGTTTTCATGTTTTAAGTGTGTTTTATGTATACAGAAGTCTAGAACCACTAGGTGGGGGGAAGAATTCACACAATGATTTTTTGAAGTGCCTTAGTGAGAATTTCCTCATTATAATTTTTGCTGTATTTAGCTACATTTTTAAATATGTAATATTACATATTAAATACATATTACCCCAATAATATTGGCAATTTTGTCCATATTTTGGCCAAAAAAAGTGTTAAATAAATTTTAATGATTACAATAATTTTGAACATAATGTAATGTGAAAAAAAAATCAGGAAATAAATATATAATGAAGGAAATAGACTCTGAAAGACTTACAAGACTTTATCAATATCCAGTTGCAAGAAACTCCTTAAGTAAATAAGTGTATTATCACTAAGGGTTAAGTTAAGGGGTTTTGTGCGACTGAACACAAGACTTTCTAAGTTGTATGTCGCCACCATGTGGTTATTTCTAAATATACACAAATACAGAAACAGTGTATTTGCCACGCAGCAATAAGAAATGCAAGTATCAAATGTGATCAAGTTATATTAAAATACAGAAACAAGTAGAATATAGGCAATAAAAACGGTACATTATTAGAAAAATGAGATGGACATATGCCAATGATAATAATATCTGACGTAGTTAAGTTAATTACAAAGAGACGGGCGAGGTTTCTGAGAGAGAGAGGAGAGAGAGAGAGAGAGAGAGAGAGAGAGAGAGAGAGAGATTTGCTGCCCACGCGGAGCATCAGTGAGTATTTCTTCTTCAGTTCCTCTCACTACAGCACACTTGACTGGACACCGGCGAGACTAACCAACTAACTACAGCAGAAAATGAACAACGGGACGAATTACACATGAAATAGAAATATACACCGAATGTATAGAGATTTTTACGACTGTTAAGCATGCAAGTGTTTAGCTACGTTTGAATTCATGTTCTACATAACTTCCAAGACAGTGAAAAAGGTCTACTAATGTCGAAAAATGAGACTTTACTCACTTTTGATCGTGTGAGAAATCAGGTTTTGTCTTACCCGTTACACTGTTGTTGAAGAACTTTTTATAGTCACAACCGAACTCCTTAAACACCCAACAATACACACAATTCCTGGAACCGTCACAGTTGTCACAACAAACAAGAAAATGTCAACGAGATTGTACATTCACTGGAAAGAAAAGATTAACATTGTATCTGTCAGGTTTCTGATGGAATGCAGATGTGAAGAAACACGTTGTTTTCACTTTTAAAGTTACATTACACCCTGTCCTGTATAAGACTCTTCCTACAGCGCTATAGATCAAGTTCAACACCATGTAACCTACTTTCACTTTTTAATCGAGAGTAACATTTTGTAAGTCGCTTTGGATAAAAGCGTCTGCTAAATGACTAAATGTAAATGTAACAAACAGCTGGCATTTTTAAGCAAATAGCAATATTCGTTTTTTGTTAGAACTCGTCAACACAAAGCATCCAGTGTTGTTCTGACTAAAGGCCAGTAATATGAATTTATGCATCTGCTCAATAGTGGCCACGGGGGGGATTTGATTTGCCTTCTGTCGAAGTCTCAATCTCTCATACAGCAGCTCGCCCTGAGCTGACAGCGGCTCCTCTAATTGGCTGAAGTCTGCGGTAAACCACGCCCACTATCTTTAACCACTTTTCTTCGTGAACTGGTGTCTGGTCGCCATCTTTGAATTCCAACAAGCTTTTAAAAACACAACGGCTATGTTCCCCCGCCTGGCATTTGTCTTGCTCGTTTACAAAGTGCTACTATATTTACCCCGCTAGCGACTCACGGATATTAAGACGATACCTCGAGCTGTATATGGGGATGATGGCGACGCGAGACAGCCGTTCCGAGCTACAGTATTTCCCGTAGATCCAGTCAGAAAAACAAAGCCACCATTGCCTCGAGTGATCCGAGCAAAGGACAACCCGTCCGCCATTTTAAAGCAAAGTCGACAAGACAAATAATACCCTATCTACGCACTCGTTAAGCACACAACACAAAAAAATGCAATCTTTATAGTCAGACTGCCATGCATTTGTATAAATTATCATTGCCTAGGGAGGTTTATTTCACCAAACTAGCTCAACGGGTATCCAGTTCCGCCAACTAATAACACCTAACGACATTATGAACAAAATGTTGCATTTCAGTCTGTTTTTTTGTCTCTCCGTTCGGCTAAATCCACAGGCGCCACTTGGCAATCTTTATGTGCAGATTGCGTTGATTGTTCCAGTGAGCTCTCCTCTGAAAAGAATGCAGTTTATAAAAAGCCCCAGTTGAATGCGGTCACTTCCTGTATCTGCCTGTGACAATCTTTATGTACAGATTGCTTATGACTAGCGATGGCTAGCTTATTATTCGATGATTTTTCGTTACTTTAATAATCATTAGGATTGCTCCGTCTCACACACAAAGAGAAGCAGGGCGTTGAAGCCGCTGCTCTGGCTTTGCGGTGTGAGCTCATACACTAGTCTCGCTTTATCTCAGCATGCTGCCTGCTTCTAGAAACTGTGGCGCATTTCGGTCGCCACGCTCGATACAGCTAGGAACTTTTAATCTCTATTTATATCGGGAATCGTTTTCTTCAACAGACAACTGGTTAACTGTTACGTAGTTTCGATTCAAATGCGTTGATTGTTCCAGTGAGCTCTCTGAAAAGAATGCAGTTTATAAAAAGCCCCAATTGAATGCGGTCACTTCCTGGATCTGCCTGTGGCAATCTTTATGTACAGACTAGCGATGGCTAGCTTATTATTCGATGATTTTTCGTTACTTTAATAATCATTAGGAGTGCTCCGTCTCACACACAAAGAGAAGCAGGGCGTTGAAGCCGCTGCTCTGGCTTTGCGGTGTGAGCTCATACACTAATCTCGCTTTATCTCAGCATGCTGCCTGCTTCTAGAAACTGTGGCGCATTTAGGTCGCCACGCTCGATACAGCTAGGAACTTTTAATCTCTATTTATATCGGGAATCGTTAACAGACAACTGGTTAACTGTTACGTAGTTTCGATTCAAATTGGTTTGAAAGAACACTTACTATTAATACCTCTCCTCTGCGTCTCGGGTTGCTATTAATATATTGTGCTTAACAGCAACAATTTTCAGCTTTTTAACAGTTTAAGAGAACGTAAACTGTCATGACTTTAGCATTATTGGCTGAAAAATGGCATAATGGGCGGGATTGTGGTGGCTGAAATTGAGCTTTTCCTTCTTGAACAATCTGGAGCAAAAAAGTAGTAAGCGAATGTCCGTTACTCGAGTAGAAAAAAATGAGTTTTGGGGCTTTGATCTTCGCACAGCTGAAAAATCCTCGACGGCAGATCTTCACCGAGACCGACTCAGACCTGAAACGAAACAACAGCACAAATGAACATTAGAGAAAAGCGAATGTTTGGCGGCGGAAATCCAGAAAACGATCAAAAGGTAGTTTTTGCCGATAAAAACTAACGTGGTAGCCGAAGTTTGGGATAAAAATCGTCTTTTAAATCGCAAAAAGGTGGAGAACCGACCTCCGATACAACACTTACCTCAGACAAATCCAGGAATGCTGTAGTAAGGGTGGGACTCGGTTTATATAGTTCTGACGTTTTTCGCGTCATCCCGTGCTCGGGCGTTTCTTTCAGCACAAAATGGAGTTGATGATCACGCGCTCCTCTAGAAACTACCTTCTTCTATGTGTTCAAGGACGAGCCCATCCCCCACTCCGGTATCCGGTGATTTTACGTGCTTTCTATGCAAAGATAATCATTAATTTGTTGGAATTTTTTAAATGAAAGTAACGTAAGAATTCTACATACATCACAGTGCAATAATATAGGCGTATTCGTTTATGCAAATTCAAGAACTAGCTATTGTAAGGCAGATTCAGCCTTTATGTAAATCACTGTAACGCTATTATGTTCAAAGTGTGGGTTAAAAGTAAACATTCATTCATTTAAACGATAATTTATATAACCACAAGTAATATTCCTAAGACAAAATGCGAAACATTGGCACAAAATGCAATAATTAAATTAGCTGGCAAACTGACCAACACGAGGGATCGTTTCAGCTAACGTTTCACATAAAAATAAATTTTTACATTGATTTCTGTGTGAAATATTTGACTAGGTAAACTGTATGAATTCATTTTAAACTGGGGCTTTGATCTTCGCACAGCTGAAAAATCCTCGACGGCAGATCTTCACCGAGACCGACTCAGACCTGAAACGAAACAACAGCACAAATGAACATTAGAGAAAAGCGAATGTTTGGCGGCGGAAATCCAGAAAACGATCAAAAGGTAGTTTTTGCCGATAAAAACTAACGTGGTAGCCGAACTTTGGGATAAAAATCGTCTTTTAAATCGCAAAAAGGTGGAGAACCGACCTCCGATACAACACTTACCTCAGACAAATCCAGGAATGCTGTAGTAAGGGTGGGACTCGGTTTATATAGTTCTGACGTTTTTCGCGTCATCCCGTGCTCGGGCGTTTCTTTCAGCACAAAATGGAGTTGATGATCACGCGCTCCTCTAGAAACTACCTTCTTCTATGTGTTCAAGGACGAGCCCATCCCCCACTCCGGTATCCGGTGATTTTACGTGCTTTCTATGCAAAGATAATCATTAATTTGTTGGAATTTTTTAAATGAAAGTAACGTAAGAATTCACTCTACATCACAGTGCAATAATATAGGCGTATTCGTTTATGCAAATTCAAGAACTAGCTATTGTAAGGCAGATTCAGCCTTTATGTAAATCACTGTAACGCTATTATGTTCAAAGTGTGGGTTAAAAGTAAACATTCATTCATTTAAACGATAATTTATATAACCACAAGTCATATTCCTAAGACAAAAATGCGAAACATTGGCACAAAATGCAATAATTAAATTAGCTGGCAAACTGACCAACACGAGGGATCGTTTCAGCTAACGTTTCACATAAAAATAAATTTTTACATTGATTTCTGTGTGAAATATTTGACTAGGTAAACTGTATGAATTCATTTTAAACGATTTATTTTAAAATGAAAATGTGAGAACAATAAACGCGCACTTCCGTCACTGTACACTTTAACCTCAACAACTTCCTTTGATACAAAACAAAATGGCAGCCTCCTTACAACGCATTGGAATAGTTATCTGCCGCACATTTCCTGTCATTTTACAACGAAATATTCAAGCACAGGTTGGTTGGTTACAGAGAAATATTTTAATTGATGTTTTTTTTAAATACAGGATGTATAAATATGTCTGTTGCTGTCCACTCATTTCGCGTGCAAACAACATCAACAAACATAAAGGACAAACTACGCGTTTTGTATTGCAGAGAATCCGTGATTGGAAAACAAGTGCTCCAGTGCTGCGTCTGAATTTTCGTGCTTTATCATCATCATCATCTTCATCTTCATCTGCTGATGACACGGATTCAACTGAGGTACTGTCTAGATATTCAGACAGACCATGGGAATACTTAGAAAGTGAAGGTAAATATGATTGATTAGATGATTGAAATGAATTACTTGTGGTTAAAACAGCGTTTAATGTTGCTCAAATCTCTCTTTAGAGTACATTGAGCGCTATGGATCAAAGCCTGTTTGGTCTAACTATAGGAGGAACCATAAGGGGGGAGTCCCTCCTCAAAAGACAAGAAAGACTTGTATTGTAAGTTCACATTTGTTTTGAATTTTGATTGATTGATTGTTCTTCAGATTTTTTTTTCCAGTCCATTAAATTTGTATTAATGAGGATGATTGTCTTGTCATAGAGAGGTGACAAGATATGCGGCAACCCTTGTCCCATCTGTCGTGATCCAAACATCATTGTCCATTACAAGGTTTGTTTTTCGATTCTGTCTTTTTTGTGTGTGTGAGGACAATGTATTTGCTTTAATATACACGCTTTTCCTCTGCAGAATGTGAACCTGTTGCAGCAGTTCATTAGTCCTCAAACAGGAATTGTGCATGATCCCATTCGAACCGGTAATGCATTTCTTAATACATTCAAGTGTCACATTTCTGGTGTGATCATGATCTGATCAGCACTTTTCATCTTAAATTGTTTCCTCAGGTGTGTGTATGAAACAACAGAAACTACTTAACAAGGCCATTGAAACTGCTAGAGATTGTGGTAAATTTACACTTTTTTTTTATTGTTATAAGTGGCAATGTGCACAAACAGTCCTTTTATGAAAAGAAATGATCAATTTCATTATTTGGTGCACAAGTGCTTAATGTGATGGGTTTTTTTCTTCCTTCGTTTAAGGTTTACTTTTTGCCCAGTTACCTCATGTTGATTACTCTAAAGAGGACTACTCAAACACTCATGGTGCTGTAGCACCAACCCCTGCCCCATTTTCTCTCAGCTCTGGAGAACTGTGGTATCCGTGGTATGGAAGTATAAAACCAGATGAGCGAGAACTGGCAAGAGTGAAGCGGATCTACAAAGACTACCTGAAACCAGATGTTTGAATCTTGTCGTAAAAGACCTTTACACATTAAGAGCAGATGCTGTGTATTTTACATGAGAATGAGGCAGTTAGGGATAGACTTACAGTCTTTACAATGGCAGGTCCTAAATCACATGTAATTTTTAAAACTCATGGCGTTTTGTCTACTGAAAGCTTTTTGGAAAGACATTTCATCAAATGAAAAAAATCTGTATTTTGTTAAAACAGCAGTACAACCCATTAAACGCACTGTACTTCTATCCCTCACAAACTAAATTTCATTCCTATCAGAAATGACATATTGTGCTACCCTGGCTAAGGTCTATTTCAAATAGCGGTTGGAAGTTTGATCCAAATGATGTTTCCATAACAGTACTTATATGAGCAAGAAGAAAATGTTACATTTTGTCCAGGCAAGACAACAAGCATAATATGAAATCTCCAATAAACTTGACTTTGTTGCAAAAATTTTTTTATTTGTTTTTCCATGAGATTTGGATGCATACTTCATATTCAAATCAAGTTAGTCAATAGTTTATTTCCTCATTCACGACAGATGAGCTACAAGAAGCATCACTGTATGAACATTTATATAGGTTAAACACTTTGGAGCTGGTTTTGAATGTGAGCTTAATGACCTCAACACAAGTGTTCATTCTACAAAGGCAGTTTAATACTAAATATATGCATCAGCCGACAGACACCATTATCAAACTGCACACTTCTAGCCACATCTGTTCACATTTGATAGTGACAGTATGTTTTCTAGCATTGCATCACATGGATGAACAGAGTTGGTAATGATATGGCCTGAATGTAAGCATAATACAAGAATGCCAGACATCATGACTAATGAACAAGCGCTGTGTGTATAAATTGTCAGCAAGTAAAAATACTGATCTGGAATCGGTCTTCACCTGTTTTAAAAGTAAAAGACGTGAAAAACCCATCCTGGTATTGTAGGGTTTGTGTATATCACCCTACACAGTTTGCATGCAGGTGCTCAGCATAATCTGCCAATTTACCAAGAAGGATTTCTTTCAGTATTGAGGCTTTAAAAATGAGCAATGTAGATGCAACAAAAAGCCCTTCAGTGATGTAGTTTGACGCTCTTGTTATTAATACCAGCCGTTGTTCATTCTTTAGGCTTGTTGACCAGGGTTTCTCCAAGAGCCTCCAGCACTTCTCTCTTGTAGTCGTCAAAGTCTCCATCAATCTGGCTGATCGACTGGTCCTCAACCACCCACAGCTGGCACTGGGTCTCCGTGATGAGCCTGGCATCGTGGCTCACAATTATCACAGCTAAAAAGATTCATATTAAATGTTAATAATAAAGACTTTACCCCCTGGTTTCCACTATCATAATCATTGTATATAGTTTAGAAATCTTACAGAACATCTGAATGGATTTACATGCACACAAGATCATTCACCACAACAAATAAAATGAGTGGGGGGAAAAAAAATACCTCCTTTGTATTCATTGATGGCTTCTGACAATGCATCAATCGACTCAATGTCCAAGTTATTTGTGGGCTCATCCTGTACATTTGTATGGGGGAAAAAAATGTTAAAGGTCCCCTGAAATGCTTAGGAACACGCAGCGTTACTCTGTGTTGACGTCATTTTAACTGAAACAGAAAGACAGGGCGGGACATATCAAGCAGCCCCGCCCCTTTTTAAAATAGCCAATAGTGTTCGTTTATATCACAGCATGGGCTAGAGCCGTTCAGAGCCGTTGAGCTCCGTAAAGCCGCATTTGACAGGATATGGCAGCCACAATCATCTATATTGCTATAAAATATAGCATTCTGTGTAGAATTCAAATAGCTCTGATACATTTTGTGGTCTGCGCCGACTCGCGCATGTGATTCGCTCCGTGCTATCGTGTCTCTGGACCGGAGCAGTGTGTGTGAGCAGTGCGGTGGTTAGCGTGACACAGCGCGAAACCAGACTTCTTTTTTTCCTCAATGGAAAGCATATTTACACTGTTTGAATCGTTCCCTGTCCCCTATATAGTGATATTTCAGATTTCAGCTGCGGCTTCAGCGTCTCTTTTATAGTGTAGGGGGCGTGTGCTTCGGATTCTAGAGAGCATTTGATTGGACAGAAAGTTTGATGAGAAGATGAAGTACGATGTGACATCAAAAAAATCGTTGAGCCGTTTTTGCGGAAGTGACGAACTGCAAGCTTTGAATGCTTATATCTTCTAAATGCGAATTTTGTCACTGTTTTGGAGCACACTGCCTTATAGATAACCTTAAGACTAACATATTGATACTAACACCCAAAAAACTTTAATTTTGAGTTCATGGGGACTTTAAAGTACAAATTTAAATGAAATTGAAACATTTAAAACCTTTACTCCTTACCAAGATGAGGACATCAGGTTGTCGACAAGAAAGTTCAGCAAATACCACTCTTGCTTTCTGACCGCCTAAAAATACAACAAAAAACAATTCAGGACAATTCAGAAAAAAATGTCAACAAAGGACAGATGACTTTGAAAACCATACATGAATGCATTCCTATCAGTGTTAATTTTGACAGCAAATTCTGATTTAGTTTTAGTCATAGTCTTTTGACTAAAATGCCATTTAGTTTTAGTCATATTTTAGTCATCTGAATTGTTTTTAGTTTTAGTCGACTAAATATCACGATTTTAGTCGACTAAATCTACAGTAAATTTAGTCGGCTAAAATCTAATGGGTTTAGTTACAGTGCATTTATGAAGCATTTCTCTAAAATTTCCAAACTCATTATATAGGTTTGATATTAAGGTTTTATCATGATAGACACCGATTTAACTGCTGTGACACACAACATGCCTTTATGTTAAAATTAAATAAAACCACTTCAAAGACATGGTCTTCTTATTAATGAAATACCAATGGTTATATAGGCTAATTATGCATTCTTTATAGCAACTTGTTTACCATATTCCTCATTCTTTCAAGCAGACATATTTATTTCTATAAATAAATTTAGATGAATCTTTAGGGCTACTAAAGTTTTTCAGTCAAGAGCAGTGCGTGATTTTCTGTCTTTCTTTTGTTGCTTGATTAACATCAATGACTCGGACAATAGCAACTAAATTAGGCTGCTATCCCTTTAAAACCGAATGCACAGCTGCAATGGATGCAATGTACTGATACACGTTCTCCCTACTGTTTACGTTCACTTAAGACATAATCAACT